ACAGCTAGCGATTAGATTTATTGATACTGAACTTATCATCCGATATTGAACTATTCAAAATAGCCTTAATAATTGCATCTAGCCTCACAGTTCAGATACATAAATTTGTCTTCATTTCAATTTTTCCAAAGTTCCAGTTTTCACAGCTGTATGTTATAACTGGAAAACTTAGGGTATTGACAATTGCAGGAGAACTTTTGAGTTCAGATAAACCAGAGATCAGCATAATTTCGTTGAAGGACATGCAGTTTATTGATTGGTTCTAGAGGTCAAGACAAGCCAAAAGAAGGGAGGGGATAAACTCCCTCTTGGTAGACTGACACAAATTATCATACACATTTAATTAGTGTAGCAACTTCATTGAGTTTAAAACTTGTTAGGTCAGGATAATGGGGTGAATGCAATGGCGTACTTGAGCTAACAAAGGCAGTCTGTTTTGTTGAGATTTCCCTGGGTGTCCTTGCTTCTCAGCACGGCTACTTTCCTGAATCAGCATTCCTTGTGTCTGTGTTTTATTGCTGAGCTAGGACTCTAATTCCCTTTGGACAAGGGCATGTAAAGAGGGGATGAATACCTTTGAAGTTGTATGTTATTTGCTTGCCCTAGTATCATTTTCACTTTTAAATGATGTTCTTTGTGTCAAATTCCTGTATAGCTTAGCGCTTTAGTTTCACTGAAAGATGTAGTTCAGTTAGGGCTTTTTAGTTTGATCCCCAAATTTTATATAGAATAGAATAGAATAGAATAGAATAGAATAGAATAGAATAGAATAGAATAGAATAGAATAACTGGAAGGGACCTTGGAGGTCTTCTAGTCCAGCCCCCTGCTCAAGCAGGAGAACCTATACCGTCTCAAACAGGTGAATGTCTAGTCCAGTGATGGCGAACCTTTAAGAGACTGAGTGCCCAAACTGCAACCCAAAACCCACTTACGCATCATCAAGTGCCGGGTGAGCGTGGCCAATTGGGTGGTGTGGTCACTTGGGTGGGTGTGGCTGTGGTGGTAATGGCAGACTGGGTGGGGCTAAAAAGTTCAATCAATCAATTCCAACTTTGCAAGATCTTTTTTTTCCCGCAAGAAGTTGAAATTGACTGATTGAAACTTTTTTTTTTTTTGCACATGGTAGCAGAGGCCTAAAGCGAAAAGGTTTTATAAAACCCAGCTGAAGGCCTAGGACTGGGGCGATGGCGCGTGTGCCCAGAGAGAGGGCTCTGAGTGCCGCCTCTGGCACCCATGCCATAGGTTCGCCACCACTGGTCTAGTCTCTTCTTAAAAATCTCCAGTGATGGAGTGACCACGATTTCTGGGGGTAATCTGTTCCACTGGTTAATTGTCCTCACTGTCAGGAAGTTTCTCCTTAATTCCAGGTTGCTTCTCTCTTTGATCAGTTTCCAACCATTGTTTCTCGTCCTTCCCTCTGGTGCTTTGGTGAACAACCTGCCCCCCTCTGCCTTGTGGCATCCCCTCAAATACTGGAACACTGCTATCATGTCTCCCCTATGCTTTTCTTTAGACTAGCCAAACCCAAGACCAGTAGCCATTCTTCATATGTTTTAGTCTCCAGGTCTTTGATCATCTTAGTTGCTCTTCTCTGATTTTTTTTTCCAAACTCTCAAATATCTTTTTTTGTGATATAGTGACCAAAATTGGCTGCAGTATTCCAGGTGTGATCTTACTAGGGTTTTATAAAGCGGTACTAATATTTCACGTGATCTTGATTCTATGCCTCTGTTTATACAACCCAGGATTGTATTAGCTTTTTTGGCTGCTGTTGCACACTGCTGGATCATAGTCAAGGGATCGTCTACTAGGACTCCAAGGTCCCTCTCACAGTTGCTGTTTTTAAGCCAGGTTTCGCCCAATCTGTATTTCTACCTTTGGTTTTTTCCCCTGCCTAAATGTAAAACTTTGCTTTTCTCCACATTGAAACTCATTTTGTTGGATAGGGCCCATTGTTCAAGTTTGTCAAGATCTTTTTGGATCCTGAGTTTGTCTTCTGGGGTGTTGACTATTCCTGTCAGTTTGGTATTATCTGCAAATTTGATGAGTCCCCTTCAATTCCCTCATCTAAGTCATTGATGAAAATATTAAAGAGTACTGGGCCTAAGACGGAACCTTATGGTACCCCACTGCTTACTTCTCTCCATGTGGATATAGTGCCATTGAAGACTACTCATTGAGTACAGTTTGTTAGCCAGCTACAGATCCATCTGGTGGTGATGTCTATTCCACCGTTTCCTAGCTTACCAAGGAGTAGGTTTTGGTCGACCTTGTCAAATGCCTTACTGAAATCTAAGTATACTATGTCCACTGCGTTGTGCTGGTCTACTAGTTTAGTCAGTTTATCAAAGAATGAGATAAGATTGGTTTGGCATGATCTGTTTTTAACAAACTCGTATTGGCTACTAGTTATGGCTTTGTTTCCTTATAGATGTTCACAGATCTGTTTTTTCTTTAATTATTTTTTCTAGGATCTTCACAATACATTATTAGTATCCCTCCATCTATCCATCCATCCAACTCTACCTGTGCAGAGTATACTAAAAGTCCTTATAAACCAGTAATTTATTCTATCATATCAGTGCCTACCAAAGAAAGATGAAGGTGGTTTTCCAACATGAGTCATTTGTTCTAATGCAGTGGTTCTCAACCTGTGGGTCGGGACCCCATTTGGGGTCGAACGACCATTTCACGGGGATCGCCAAACAACGCAGTCCGCCATTTTTTTCCCCTTTTCCTTAGCTGTGCTACTCCCTTTTATTCTATTGGCTTTTGAAAGCCAATAGAATAGACTCTCTTGAATAGGGTCTAATTCTATTGGCTTTCCAAAGCCAATAGGAATTGTCCAGGCTGTCTCTGCCCTGCTGAGCCCGCCAAAAGTCCCATTCTGCAAACGGTGCTGCACCAGCTGAGTAGTCCTCGACTTACGACCGGTTGAGTAGTCCTCGACTTACGACCGGTTGGGGGTCGCGGCATTAAAAAGGTTGAGAATCACTGTTCTAATGAGTTGCAGGAAACCTAACTCTGCTGATATGTCAACTATAGGAAGGGTTGATATTAGGCTGTGGTGTATTTCCTATTAAACAGTCATATGTTTAATGTGACATGCATATGAACCTCATAATTATTGCTTCTTTAGCCAATTCCTTTTTTTTCCTCTCACATCAGTGATTTTAGTTTAATCTTCCATAAAAAAGGAGAGTTCAATGTGAAATTCCTAAAGTAGAATTTAGCAACAATTTGATTGGATTAATTTAGGTTTTAATTATAACAGTGACTTTCTTTCTAGCTCAGTGGTTCTTAAACTGTTTGACCCAATTACCCTTTTTCCCAGTCTAGTATAATGTCATTAGCTCCACAAGAACCCCAGACTCTTGTTTTTCACAAGTGCTTGGTAGCAGCAATCCCAAATTGGATCCTCAGTGTACAAAGAATTTAATACAAATTACCCATTGCCTCCAGGATGTACGAAAAACATCCCCTTGTTCTTGTGGTTTGGAAGATAGTGTTACTGTACATGGATTACCATTTTGTACACATTTGAGCTTTCCTAGCAATGCCTTCGAATTATGTCCAGAGGCAGAAGTAAAGATATAGCAAAAGAAAGGAGGTAGAAGTTCCAAGTTACAGATTTTGAAGAAAAGCAAACCATACCTTTAATTGGTAGCAAGGCATAGCAATCTATGATAACTCTAAAGCAACTTCTGATGAACTGAAGAGAAAACCAGGTATTATAGCTGATAGTAGCTAACTGCTAGGGGCAGTGTATTTCTTTAGCCCTGTTTCTACTTAGTGTAAGCACAAAGAGTTCCACACTGAAAGATGGTCCTAACTTACTGTTCTTTTTTTCCTTCTATATTGTTGCATATTTCAGATTCCTGAGGATTGTCCATCTGTTTCCGTCTATAAACTCTTTAGGTAACAATAAACAAATTAATATTCCAAGCATCAGACAGGCTTTAGTTTCCATTGTAATAAAGGCTTTCCTTGGGATAGGGTAATTGTGTTGTTCCTGTTAGTAAAGTTTGGTTTTATAATTGGTTGTATTGACTCTCTGGTTGGCTATGATCTCTATTTTAATTTACTAGTTTTTCATCTGCCCAGAGTGGTTAAGGAGTTGGATGGCCTCAAAATTAGAAAATAAATAATTTCTCCCCCCATGACCCCCTCACGGGCAAGGTGATTTTATGAACATCAGTTTTAGTCTTCAGCCTATTTATATATAGTAATTCGATGGAAGTCAGCAGGGACCTTCTCAGAAGCAAGCTTTTACATAATTATAACTCAATTATCCCTTCTCTGTGTGATTTCTTAATCCCTATTTTATAACAGGTCCTCAAAATATTCTCATTCTTGCAGACTGCTTTAAGTAAATGAAGGGTTAATGGGATTCTACAACCATCACAAGCCAACACCGAAAAGTACCTCAGGCTATAGTTACACAAACAACTCCCTAAACTGAAGATTTTAATATGCTTCCTATCTGCTTCTTAGTCAGCAGCTGAACAATATTAACACAGTTGGCTTTGAAGCTGCTCTTCTTTTCTTTTAATTGCTATCTTTCCAAGCAGCCCCGAAAAGGGAATATAATTTATATTGCTTGTTCCTTTTTGTGAATGTTTTGTTCATCCCTTGAAGTAGGTAAGGGGCTTGAGTAACCAAGGCCAATGAAAAAAATATATATGGGAAATTGGATTTCTCCTTTCAAAACTTTTTCTAGTTTGAGCTGCTGTTTCATGTATTTTTCTTTGCTGGTGTGTAATAGACTATGAAATCGGACATGACCGATTGATCACTGAGCATTGATTACCAGGAAAACGAACAGAATGTAAAGAAAACATCCAGAGCTGTGAAAAGAGACTGTTCATTTCACTTTACAAAGTGAATTGATTTACTTAGCAGTTCAGCAAGAAGACGGAAAGTGTTTGCATCCGAATGAAGTAAGCAGTAGCATTACAAGGCAATGAAGTGGACAGGAAGGCTGAGGAGATAACTTGGTCGGTCTCCATTGCATGATCATTCCAACTAGTGGCTCTGTCCTATCAGTCAGCTTGTCATTTTTTGGTGTATTCTTTGGATTTACTGATCCCAGCAGCCATCAGAATTATGATTTACAGTCGTGTCAGGACTAAAAATAGATTTAAGTTGTTCAGAGGAAAATGAAGCAATTAACAGCGCTGAAGACCATGAGGTAATTTCAAGGGACCAGTTTTGATGTATTTATTCCAAGAGATCATGAGCATGGTAAGCAGGAGAGTAATATTTGAAGTTATTTTCAGTCTGCAAAGAGGAAAACATTCTTAATTACAAATTCAGTTTTTAGCAATGAGTCCTACATTCTGATATAAATTGCTCATAGTATAATAATATTTATATTTGGTATTATAATATTTCCAATCTCTCCATTACTCTAATCTGTAAAGGCACTTTGAATAAAATAGGTTCTAAAGGAAACAATATAGCTAAACAGTCATTACACAGAGATTATGGTAAATTTTAATAATTTTAAAACATTACTCCTGAAGGCATTCTTTTTCCCAAAGGGAAATCTGTCTTTTTTCTCTTTATGAATTTTCCATCTGGGAAGTTGGAAAATATTCTGGAAGAAAGCAATGGCACATCACTTCTGTAGCGTTGCCAAGAAAACTGTACAAATCTCCATGTGACCAGAAGAAATCAATTCTTATTTGAGGTCATCCTTACTTTATTGGTTATGCTGATAATTGCAGCCTTGGACAGAAATCAAGGAAAAGGTAAGAAAACTTGTCTGTCTGTCTGTGTGTGTGTGTGTGTGTGTGTCTTTGTGACTTTGTGGTTGTACATATATACATATAAAAATAAATGTCTTTTTGCAGGGAGATCTGTTTCCATCACAAGGGAATCCTCTTTATGCATCTTGTTGTCAGCTTGTGGATTTAACTGCCCCAAGATGATCTGAAAGTAGTTGAAATGAAATGATAGCTGATAGAACACAATGTAATGGCGAGGGGATAATTTTCAGAAATGGGGCAATGTGCAAATATTAAATTATTAACTTCTTGATGCTCTCTTTGTGAGCTCTCTAGAATGGAAAGGAATACAAAGCCACGGTTTTAATAGGACTCTTAATTTCTAGATGGATGGATGGATGCACAGAAGTGTTCCTTGACAATTGTGATCAAACAGGTTACATTTTAAAACTATTTATTAATTTGACAGGATACTTGTTTTTGTTACAAAGTTAGAGACAGGGTCCTGTCTAATTTTTCCATTATAAATATTTTTGCCGGAGGTTTTCTGTTCACCAAAGCCACTGGTTTTCATAGAATTCCATGAAGTTATAGAATAGGACATGTTCTGAAATACAGATATTTACAGTAGTCATTGGCCACACCATCATGGCAATCATTTTTTTTTCAGTTTGGTCATCCAGAAGTTGTTGAACCAAAACCCAGAAGCTTCACTGAATTAAGGGAAAACTTGCCAAAGATGTTTTCTCAAGTTATTTTCTTGGCCCAGGCTGAAACTCCACTTATCTGACCATCTTCTTGATAGCAGCTCTTCCTCCTGATCTTTACGGCCATTCCCCATGTCCTCTACACTGCTTTATATGATGCCTCCTTATTTTAATGCATGTCAAGTGAATTAAATAGAACTGCAGGCAATTTAAGTAATACCATTTAAAAATGCTGGTGCTTACACAAATATGTAAATGGCTCTCTGAGCGATGCACTTCTCTTTTACTTTAAAGGGATGATCTCATGACTATGGGGGACTGGAATTTGCTGGGCAGCATCTTAGAGGAAGTCCATCTCCATTCCACCATAGTGGGCAAAATCTGGCTCACCATCCTTTTCATCTTTCGCATGTTGGTTCTCGGTGTGGCTGCTGAAGAAGTCTGGGATGATGAGCAAGAGGAGTTTGTTTGCAACACCGAGCAGCCAGGTTGCAACAACATCTGCTATGATAAAGCTTTCCCCATCTCCCTGATCCGCTACTGGGTGCTCCAGGTCATTTTTGTCTCGTCTCCTTCGCTTGTTTATATGGGCCACGCCATTTATAGACTGCAAGCCCTTGAGAAAGAGAGGCAGTGTAAGAAAGCTCACCTCAAAGAGCAGCTCAAAGAGATAGACCCTATTATAGAAGATCATCGGAGAATAGAGAGGCAGCTGAAGAAGCTGGAAGAACAAAAGAAAGCAAGCAAGCCTCCCTTGCAAGGGGCTTTGCTGTGGACCTATATCCTTCATATCTTGACCCGATCAGTCTTAGAAGTGGGGTTTATGGTGGGCCAGTATTTTTTATATGGGTTTCAAATGCATCCACTGTATAAGTGCACCCTTCCACCTTGCCCTAACACTGTGGATTGCTTTGTGTCCAGACCAACAGAAAAAACAATCTTCATGGTCTTCATGCATAGCATTGCAGCCGTTTCACTCTTTCTGAATATCTTGGAGATTGTTTATTTGGGGATTAAGAAGATTAGAAATACCCTTTGCAGGAAGTCCAAGAAGAAGCTAATGACGGCAGAAGAGGACGTTATCTTTAATTTCCCCAAGAAAAATTCAATGATCCAGCAGATTTGCAAACTGAGTGATTCATCCCACCAGGATAGTTACAAATTTAGGTCAGAGGAACAAGGGAGACTACCCGTTTCCTTGAATCTTGAAGAAGGATATATATTTACTGAACAAAACCAGCACCCGGGCAATGTGGAGCAACAGTGGCGCAGAAACTGCAGAAGCTGGCCCAGTCAGTATCAAGATCGACCACATCCTTCTTATGGGCATCTCGGATATCCCAATGGGAATGGACAGCATCAACACAGGCTGTTCCCCAGGCATTATACAAACTTCACGAGTCAGTGCCATAACGATGAGCATCTGATTGCGCCCTGCAGCACCGACAACATTCCAGTGGAAGCAGGGCAGGCTGTCGACCTCTACAGAAAGCATGACTCCAACACCTCAGATGAATCCAAGACCCTTCCACATGCGTCTAAAATTTCCATAGTATCCAACCCCAGGGAGAGCCCTCAAGCAACCTTTCGGAAGCAAAGCTGGGAAGTTGGCAGCAAGGACTTAGGAGATGATAATGGCAGCTCTCCAAACACCATGCCTTACCAGAACCACAACGCCAGCCTTTTACCCAGAATGCTGTCCGAGAGCCAGCTGGATATCAACTCAGTGACCTCAGATTCACAGAACGGTTCAGTCTTGGAAGCTAAATGGCAAGAGGACCGCAGCCCTCCTATCACGCATTCATTTTACTCCACAAGGGAACGCAGAATGTCAATGGCAAGTAAACCCAAGCAACCTTTCTGCTATACTGATATATTCTGCTATACTATAGTGTGAGTTGAATTATTGCTCTTTAGTATCCTTTTAACCTAGGGCCAGGGGTAGGCAACCTTGGCTGGCTCAGGAATTCTGGGAGTTGAAGTCCACGAGTCATAAAAGAGCCAAGGTTGCCTACCCCTGGCCTAGGCCTTGCGCTTAGAGGTTTGTCTGTAAAAATGTTCAAACATGGAAGGTGGAAAGATAGTGCGGTTCCTTCAAATCAAGGAAAGTGTTTGAAAATGTACTTGTTTTAGTAGAAGCGCATTATTTATATAATACTAAATAAAATCAGCTGGGGGGGGGAGAGAAATAAGGCAAGAATAACTCAGTTTTAAAATGTTAGGACAGTTAATGTGCGGGATAAAGCTTCAAAATCCAGAATTTCTGTAATGCCAAGTTGTGTCTTAAAAGGTATATAACAAGTTAAATACTTTTGTAAAGTATTTTTTCTAATGAAATTTTATTACAAGTTGAAACAAGCACAAACTGTATCAAAAGAGTACCAAGTTTGTTTATTACAGCATAAATTCACACATTTCTTGATAAGACTTTTAAACAATTAATTGCACAGACCTTTCTAAACTATATGCAGGTAAGACTAAGTTTCTATTTTGGATTGCTGAAATGATTTCAGCATGGGTGCTTTTTTAAACTCCTCTTAATTTAAATCACACATGTCAAACTTGCGACATCACATGACGTCGTGCAACGTATCAGGACGGTTTTGCCATTGCCAACAATGGGGTGGGCATGGCTTCCGGATGACACATCCGGCCTGCGGGCTGGGCAGGCAGTTTGACATCCCTTATTTAAATGTATATCTTTATTTTCTTCTAATATTTATTTAATTTCATGTTTGTTCTGTCTTATGTGCGTGTGCTATATTTGACCTGAACTCTCTGCATGTCTGAAAGAGGAAAGTGTGAATGTGTCAAATAGAGAAAAGAAATAGATAAGAGGACATTTTATGCTAAGAATGTATATTTTGTTTCCCCATTCTGCCCAGACAACTTTTGTTGGAACTGAAAACTATAGGTTCAAGATGATTTAATTTGCATTTTGAGCCCCAGAGTCCAAATTTGAATTATACTCAGATTTTTGAGCAGATAACTATCTGCATACTTCACAGTGTGCTTGTCTGTTATATACAGGTAGTCCTCAATGTATGACCACAATTGAGCCCAATTGCTTTTATTTTGAACTATCATTATATCAGTAGTCTTTGGTCCTTTCCACATAATGCTAGAACCCAGGTTCACCCAAGTAAATTCAGCCGATGAACGATTCAGTATTGATGGCAGATTTTGTTATTTTAATATCTGTATAACTATTTTGTCAGAACAGCAAGATAGCCTAGGGCCTCTAACTTAGCTAGCTTCCAAAGGCAAGTTAACATCATCCTGGGTTCCAACAACATCATGGATCAATTGTGACTCAACAGTATCTATTGTGTAATTCTCACACACGGGCCAAAATGGGAATGAGTCCCGCTTGTTGGGAAGCAATGGACAGGAGAGTGGCAGTACCTGTGTCTGGCCACTATGAACAATGGGAAACGAAGCTAGAATAATTTTGATTTTTTTAAAAAAGTTTTAATTGGGTACAAAGAAAAAAAAAGAATTAAAAACATTGAACATGGTAAATCATCTTTGACTGACATCTCAGTCCATATTGTACATTAATTACATATAATATATCTATATACAACTATACATTTCTGGTCTCTATCTCAGCTTATCTCTTTACTGTGACCTCCATTTTTTTCCCCTCCATCTATAAAATTTATTCCTTTTTCGATAAAATTCTGTTTCTTCCTGATTTTTTAATCTTTTTCTTATCCTATCTAGTTCTGCGCAATGCATAATTTTCTTTATTAGTGCTTCCCCACTCGGTACTTCCATTGCTTTCCACTTTTGAGCAAATAGTATCCTTGCCGCTGTAACCACGTGAATAATTAAATATGTGTCCTCTTTATTTACATTTTTCTCTAGTATTCCTAATAGTAATGTCTCAGGTTTGTATTGAATGTTTTGCCTAGTCATTTCTATTGCCCATTCCCAGACCATACGCCAGTACACCTGTGTTTCTCTACATGTCCACCATACATGAAAAAGGTGCCCTTTTCTTTTTTACATTTCCAACACCTAGATGAATATCTGTTATACATTTTGGCTAATCTGGCCAGGGGGAGATGCCATCTGTAAACCATCTTTATATGATGTCGCCACTGTGATTTTGTTATTTCGCTCCCATACTTGCTGCCATTGATCCATATTTATATTATATCCTAGATCTATTGCCCATGTCACCATTGTTTCTTTAACCTGCTCCTCATATAGCTTCTATTCCAACAGGTGTTTATAAATATTCTTTGTTTTTTCTCCGAGCTTAGCAGTATTTTATCTAACCCCGTATCTTGTCTGTTAATTCCCCATTCTTGCTTATCTTTCATGTATCTTGCTTGTATCTGGAGATAAGACCACCACTCCATGTCTATTCCTTGTCGTCTTAGTTCATTTTTGTTTTAAATAACCTTCTTCTGTCAAGATGTCTTTATATATAATAGCTTTGTCTTTTCTGTACAAATTGGTGTATGTGACTGCCTCCAATGGCGATAGCCAAGCCGGAATCTTTGTGTAATATTGACGTTTAACTATATTCCAGCTTTTAATTAATTCTTGCCAAACCTTATGCCTTAAAAATATTGGTGGTTTCTGCTTTGCCCCATCCATATATGAGCATGCCAACCCTGCTGGAGGTCATAACCCTCTAAATGTAAACATCTTTTATTTTCTAAGGTTATCCAGTCTCTAATCCATATTAGGGCCGCTGCTTGGTAATATAGCTCCCAATCTGGGAAACCTAAATCTCCCCTTTCTTTGGCATTCTGTAATGCCTTTAAGTTTATTCTTGCCTTCTTACCGGACCACACAAATTCTAAGATTAATTTATAGAATAATCTTGATTTGATCAAGCAGATGGGTTCACCTTCTGAAGAAGAAGAACAAAGGAAGTCCAAATGAGTAACTGACTAAAATAACCTTCAAAGCTATTTAGCTTTTGTTTGTCCTCGAAGCTGACTCGGCCTCTCCGTTTTCTCTTTCAGAATGTGCTCTTAGAACTCTCTTCCATCATGAAAAAGTAATACTAATATAACCGTGATGTTACAGAGCAGCAAGAATCTCCCTTGCCATTAGCACATCCTTGCCAATATGAAGCTGAATTATTTCCTACTTCTCCTCCGATCTGATATGGAAGCACTTGAAGGCAGATATTTAAGAATTCTAGAACTTCTGTTTTCTGGGCAGTTCTGTTGCAGTTCTCTGCTGCTGGCTGAGATTGAGCCATAATTGTCTTGTTCAGGTTGCACTGTCTTCTCTCCTGCATAAGCAGGAGAAGCTTCCGTGGACATAAAAGAACATTATTTCCTCAGTGAAGACCATAGAAGGGAGGGATAACTTGATTTGTAACACTGCCATCTTCTTATCCAGCTCAACATGCAACTTCAAGACTCTGCTAAGACACAAAACTTCAATAAAGATGGGCGAAGAAAGAGGAGACTGCTTCCTTTCTTCCTGTCTCTGGACTTGATGAATAAACAATGAAAGCTCCTCACTAGAACTTTCCAGCACTATGTTGCATGTTAACAAAGATGTTTAAATCCAACTTGGGTACTGTATGTGCAGCTGTGTTTCTTCCCAGACCCGTCAATGTACTAATCTTATATTTTTCAAAGGGCTGTAAGTATGACTTTGTTTCTTGGCGGCTTCCAAATATATAGTTATGGGCTCAACAGTTTTAATTTTTTAATGAGGGAATACTCCTCCTGCTTGAGAGGAGGAGGGTGTTGTTTATTCCATCTACAAGATTTCCAAAGATGCAATTGACATTTTTTTTCTACTTTGGCGGCTTCCAGCATAAGCACTTTCATAGCCCTATTTTGCTGCTGCTTCAAAACTAATTGGGTTTCCGTGCACATAGGGATGGTCCTGGGTTTTTCAACCCAGAGCTATTCCTGTCCCCAATAATTTATGGGAAAACAAGGCAAGGGGGTGGGGATAGACTTGCATTAAAAATAAACTGTCAATAATGCACAACAAGGGAAGAAGACAATTGTCTGGGGACAGGGCTTCCTTGTGAACACTGCCAGCTAGAGAGGTAAACAGGCTGCTCTTAATAAGGCAAACTCAAATTACCTGAGGAGCATGACTTAAGGCAGGGGTAGGCAACCTTGGCTCTTTTATGACTCGTGGACTTCAACTCCCAGAATTCCTGAGGCAGCCATGTTGAGGGGAAAGGGAGAGGTTTGCAAGCTGAGCCATGCTGGCTCAGGAATTCTGGGAGTTGAAGTCCACAAGTCATAAAAGAGCCAAGGTTGCCTACCTGTTACTTAAGGAAAGGGCCTCTATTGTAAGAAAGAAAATGTTCATTACAGATAGTCCTCAAATTACGAGCACAATTGAGCCTATTTCTGTTGTTAAGTGAGACATTCGTTAAGTGAATTTTGCCCCATTTTAGAACCATTCTTGCCATATTTGTTAAGTGAATCACTGCAGTTGATAAGTTAGTAACCTGGTTGTTAAGTGAATCTGGCTTCCCCACTGACTTTGCTTGTCAGAAGGTCACAAAAGGGGATTACATGACCCTGAGGCGCTGCAACGGTCATAAGTATGAACCAGTTGCCAAGCATCTGATCACATGATCATGGGGATGTTAACAAAGATGTTTAAATCCAACCTGGGTACTGTATGTGCAGCTGTGTCTCTCTCTTCCCAGACCCTTCAATGTACTAATCTTATATTTTTCAAAGGGCTGTAAGTATGACTTTGTTTCTTGGCGGCTTCCAAATATATAGTTATGGGCTGAACAGTTTTAATTTTTTAAAGAGGGAATACTCCTCCTGTTTGAGAGGAGGAGGGTGTTGTTTATTCCACCTACAAGATTTCCAAGGACTACCTGTATAAGGCTAGCCTTTTTCTTTATATTTCTGACTTTCTTTTCAATGCATCTCTTCTCCTTTTCCTGAATTCTCTTTCTCTCAGTGTTTACTGCATCGCACTCTTCTCTCTTCCCCTCAGGTAGCTGTGCCCTTGTTTCCCCCCCCCCAATTCTTCCGTACAGGTGGTCCCCAACTTACGACTGCAATTGGGACTGGATGCAAGTCCTTATGGTTGTAAGTTGACCAGAGGTGATTATAAGACATTTTTGCCACAGTTGTTAGGTAATCACCGCAGTCATTAAACAAATGCCATAGTTTTAGGCTCAAACACGTTCTTCAAATGGAAGAAACCACACACAGGACAGTGTGATCAATCATAAAGGTGAGCAGATTGCTAAATACCTGAAATGCAGTCATGTGACTATGGGGGAATGGGCAGCACAACTTTTTACAATGACCAGAAGTGCTTTACTGGCCATGAAGCACCCATTCTATGCCCCTTGTAATTTCAAATGGTCATTAAGCAACCAGTTGTAAGTGAAGAACTACATTGTTCCTTCAGTATCTCTTATACTCATTGTCACCCCCTAGCTCTAGAGGTTATATTAAGTCTGATGCCTACAAAGCCATCAGATAGAATGGATAGTCATGGGCCAGAAGACAACCTGGTAGAGGGAACCTACTATTGGGCACCTCTGAATCTAAGACCCTCACAAATATCATGGGCTTTCACCAGTGTTCAAATATGGCCATGAATATAAGGGGAAAGGCAGCAAACTCAGAATTTCCCATAGGGTTGGGATTGGAGAAACCAAGAGGTGAGCAGTTACCTTTTTAAGTCTTGGCTGGAAGAGTCTCCTTGAAGAAGACTAAAACTTGAAAGTATTTTCCCTCTTTTAAATATGTATTTCTAAGGCCAGTCTTGACAACAGGGCAACTAATTCTGAAGTGCAGATCTTCATGCTGACAGTCATACCTACAAACAGAATTCATAGTCGGGTATCCAAATTATTTAGATCCTCCTCATTTGTCGTTTGTACACCTGTTAACTATGCCGAAGGCAAGCTAGCTATCTCTCCTTTTTCTATGTCTGCATTTTGTAACAGGATTTTTAATGCAAAAAAAAAAAATCTCGCAATTAAGTTTACAGGGTTGCAATTTTATGCCTTGTTACCTGGAATTAAGTTGATTTCCTGTACACTACAGCCATGGTGCAACCTGCACCTTTTAATTAGAACTTGTAAAGAAATGTTACCTGTGAACTGACAAGTAAAGTAGGAGACATATCCTTCTAATTTTTTTTTTCATTCTTTTAATTAATGTACTTAATGGGAAAAGCCGAATGCCTGGTTATTTTGTACATATAGTTGACAGACAATTATTCTGCATGCCAGCAGATGATAACATTGCTAATACTGTAAAACAGACCATAGAATTCTCATCCATTACGGTATTGAGAATAATACATGATTTTTTTTTTAAAAAAAGGAATTTGATTAATAAAATCAAGTATGTATGTTGGAACTTTTTTTTAATCAAGAAACTGAAATTCAAAAATCTACAGCAAAGCGAACCGTGCGATCATCCACTATGGAGGGATTGAGAGTTAAATGAAAAGCAGCAGAAGTCCATTTTTGTTCAAACAGTTTAGAAATCAATATGCAGCTTTGGTCCTATCAATATTTGCTTGAAAAATAGGTCAGTGGGAATTACTTCCAAATGAAGTGCATAGAATCCAAGAGTATTTGTTCTGTTTGTTAAATTAATACTAGAAAATAACACAATTCTGTAACATCATAAAAATAAAGTTTCCTTTGAAATGAACTCAACTTCTGAGCGTGGAATTTTCTTGATGTTAATTGAAGTCTTTTGCCACTGCCTTCTTTCTGACTTCCCAATCTAGTTCTTCAGCTCTTATTTTCCCAGGATTTCTCTCATCCAAGCCCCTAATTAGGGCCAGTCCTAATTAGCTTCTCGTGTTGACTAAGACTGACTAGGTTCAGCCACCAGCTGTGGAATTGGAGATTGCTTTGGGCACTTTGGGTATCATCAGAGTTGATAGAACTGCAAGCTGGCAGACTACATAGTGATATGCTAGTCATTGAGCTTAGAATGGCTGGAGTGGTCCTAAGCCAGAATACTGCTGCAGAGGTCAGCAAGAGGTGGAGGATGCCATGGAGATAGCTGGAAATGGTGTGAATGTGGTGGGGCTGTTGGGTAGTTTGGCAAGACCGACAGCTAGTGAGACCAGCTGGGTAGGACTCGTGTCAAAGGAGACAAAGCCAGCTCTGGCAGGACTGGTAGCCAGGCAAGGTTTAGTATGGATAAGGTCTTAGCAGTGGACCTTTGGTGAAGACGGATATACAGCAATTGGCACCTCCTGGGATGCTTTAGACCTGAAGTTGTGCTTATGGTCCCTCACCTACGGAGTGCCTCGGGGTCCCTATTTTGCTCTTCCTGTTCAACAGATAGTCCTCAACCACCATCATTCAGTGACTGTTCAAAGTTATGATGGTGCTAATTGAGGGGCGCCTATGTTGGTTCCTTGGATTTCCAGACATTGCAGCAACCCAGCGGTCACATGACTGTAATCCAGTCACATGAATCATGATTACACCACAGCAAGCCATGGATATGTAATTGTGATTTCTCGTGCCACACTTTACGACTTCTTGTGCCACATTTAAGTGAGCTGTTGCAGCTGTTAAATTAGTAACATGGCTGTTAAGTAAATTTGGTTTCCCCATTGACTTTGTCAGAAAATCGCAAAAGGTGGTCACGTGACCAGAGGACACTGCAACCGTCATAAATGTGAGTCAATTGTCAAGCATCCAAATGGAAATCATGTGACTATGGGGATGTTGCAACAATCACAAATGTGAAAAATGGTCATAAGTCACTTTTTTCAGTGCTGTTGTAACTTCAGTCACTAAGTGAACTGTTGTAAGTTGAGGACTAGCTGTATTTGAGTGGTTCTGTTTGAGTGTCTTTATTTAAACAAATGGAGTTGGGCAGCCTCAAAGTTCAATAAATAAACAAATTGCAAAAATGGGCATTTTAAATGCAAAACAATTTGAACTTGGATTTTTTTTTTGCGTATCTCTCACTAGGTATTAGTTTTATGGTATTACATTAGGATAAAAAACAATTCATTTATTTTGTAGTCTTCCCTGCAATCTCTTATGATGTCTGAAAATGTTTAAAAGAATAAATGGGAATATCACTGGGAGAAAAAAATGTACTTTGATTTCTATATTTGCCTATAAGCTTTATAATGGGGTGTGTATGTGTGAGCCAAAAATAAGATTAGATGGCAACTATGATTGTTTTTTTAACCAATCCTCCTGCAGATGTGTCAGAACAGCTATCACAGATAATAGGCAAAGTTTTCATATTATGCTACATCAGATATGTGTTTTTTTTAAAAAAGTCTAGTTTATTTACTCATCACACCATGGCTTCTGGTTTAACATGAAAATCTACTCATGTGAGGACTTACACAAGTAACTAACTGGAGAATATTTGAACCCTATCTTAAGAATGTCAGGCAAGGAAAAACATTGCTTGTTTCAGTAGTCTTTCAAGCCAATTTAATACTATTAAGTCTCCCCAGATGCTAGTATGGGCTAAGTATGTTTTGACTGTCAAGTACTGGGGTGAGAAACCGCAATGGACAAAATACAAGGGCCAATCTAGAAAAGTCAGAGATATTGCAGAAAAAAGTAATAGCAAGTCATTTCCACATTACTGCCAACTATGACTGCATAGTTTTGTCTATTCTATATAACTGCCAGGAGTTGATCTTGATTTGAGGCTGTTTTTAATTTTTTTCTAACAACATTAAATTCAGACGCCAGAGACATTGCTACAATACATATTGGTATGTCTTTATTTCATCAACAGAAATGGTGTCTAGACAAAATTCAATTAACACTATCAATTCAAATGAATGGGAAAAATTTTTTTTTGCACGATACTGTATTTACAATGAGTAACTGAAGTCTTAAATTTATTAGTTCATAGCAATGCTGTTTTTCCAAAAAGGTAAAAATTCTTAGTAACAAGGAATAAGCATCAACAGCCATTTCATTTATACAATAAAAATCACAAGAAACCACAGTCACCTAGAAAAAAAAATAATAAGACAAGCTTAAGAACTAGTACAATAAAATGATGCATTGAATTAAGTTTCCATTAATCACATAGAATTCTGTGTAAAAAGTATATAGAAAAACACCTGATGCAACTTGTTACAGTCATTGACCAGTTATGAGAGGTACAGAAGATTATACAGGTAGATATGTGTGAGAACTGTCCATACTGTCTGACCTGGTGGGGAGGAAGAGAAGAGGGGTTGCAACCCCTTGCATACACTGATAAAACCCTGTTTTGAATATGGCCTCTGAAGTTTGTAAGGCATAGATAGTAGAGGTGCACTTTTATCCCACTGGTTCTGGAACAAACTCTTGGGGATCTCCTCCCCCTTGTAATCAGAGATGAGCCTTGAATTGAATGGCAGAAACCAGCATCCAGAGATCTCCAAACTACTGGGTGTAATTTCCGCCGACTGGAGGAGTCCAGATATTTTTATTCATAACACACGTATTAGATATCAGTTTTTGAGGAACGCCTTATCCTTTTCGTAACTGTATAAATGCACAAGAACCCACACTCATTATCAACAAAGCACTGAACTCTAAATGTGTGGAATAATCCAGAAATTCAGTCTGGCTCCTCAAATTTGAATTCACCTGTTAAAGACAGGGAACTTCTAGGCGAAGTTTCCAATCCCAATTGCCTTCAAAGTTAAATGAACCATTGACTCCAAAATCACTTGAACCGTTTCAAGTTTTGAGTGATGAGAGAAATGGATTTTCATCAAACTCCTTAAAGTATTTTTTTTTTTAAAAAAATTATTTATAAGGCTGCAATCCTATGCACACTTATCCGGGTAGAAGCTCCATTGAACTCAGTGAGACTTACTTTCGAGTAAACATGCATAGGGTCAAGCTGAACAAACTTTCATATAATTTATTTTATTACACTGCATAGGTGTTTAAACATTATGTAAACTGGACCTATATATAAAAGAGCTGATATTAGTGAGGCATTGATAATAAAAAGTTATTATCTATTTTTTTTTCAGTTTGAAGAAATTTGAATAATTACTCCCCACTAGAAAAAGTGGCTTTCATCACAACAATGGTAGAACCACATGAGCATTATAATTTAAAAACAAATACATATCACTAGTTTTATTCTGATATCTCTCTATCTATCTATATATAATATTGGTGGAGTGTAGGAAAATACTGTAATTCTTTTACACGGCAAGCAATGACATTCTAACTTCCAGAGAAAGTTATAATAATTTATTAGTAGTCTACAATCCACCAAACTATAGATTTTTAATATACATAAAAATTGTTTGAATGGATTTAACATATGTACAACTGTATTCTGCAGCATTATTTGATGCCTGTGTCACAAAATAATTCAGTTATAAATATACATAATATAAACAAGCAAAATTACACATACTGATTTTATATTGTAGATAGAAATTAGCTACCACATTTTTTAGCAGAGCTTTCCTAAGGCTACATCAAGTAACATCCTTTCTTATCTGTCTTCACTAACTCAAACTTTTTAAATGTACACATTTAAAGAGATGGCAGTGAAATAAGCAATCAAACAAACACAAATCCTGATCTTTTGTGTGCGTGTGAAAACTGCCTCTTGGAGTCATTGGTCTGAGCTAGATTGTTGAGAATTTCATGCTTGCATAGGCTTCACAAAACTACTTACTAGCCTGCTGCTTAAAGGATACTGTAGCTGTATAGGCTAAACCTGTTAGAAAATATAGAGAATATTTGTAGCTTCGGGAGAAGCTAAACCTGTCCGTTGTTCTGAAATAGAAACATACACCAGTAAAAGAAAAAGACCAGCCGGCTTCAGGATTAGATTAACCTATACTAAAGGCCATAAAAATTGACTGGCACACCAAAGATAAAAAAATAAATTTAACCAGTTGCTATGAGGATTAGTTATCATACTCTATTTAGGGAAGAAAAAAAAAAGAAAGCTGAAAATTAAAAAAAAAATCAACTGAAATTCCACCCATGCGGCTTTTCACATCACAATGATGTATAAATGGGTATAACTACAATGATCGAATGCAGTATTTTTGAGCATTCAAAAACACTTTTCTTTAAAACTCCCTATAATATTCTTTTAAATTTTGTGATATTGCAGTAAGCTGAATGTAATATTCAGCGGCTACACTGTCAGTAGCGGAACTGGCTTTATTAAGTTTAGATAGCTCCTACCGTCTTTTTTCAAGAGACAAAAATTGGAATACTGATCACATTGGCTTCTGTATTCCATTTTTTTTTTCAATTTTTACTTCCTTGGGAATAAAATAGATGGATTAGATCCAAAAAAAGTGCATCTTTAAAAAGCAGCATATATTTCTTAGAAAGACTTCAAATAATTTACTGTGTAATATATCATAATTTTATACTACAGCATCAAACTCTGATACTTGAGTCATCGTATATTAGGCCTAGGACATAAATATCAGAATATTTTGGGAATCTGACTGAAAAAAAACTAACCTTTTGTTCCAGAATCAGGTTTCAACGAACTTCAACTTTATTCAAGGCACCCCCTAGAGAATGTAACTATTTATGTAAGTGTAATACTCACCTGACAAAAACAGAAAACGTCTAAATGAAATGAGGTTTTCTAAGAACAGAAAGCACAGCAAAGGCAAATTAAAAGGAGAATATGCAGACTGGACAGGGCCAAATATATATATATATATATTTGCTCATTCCTTACATCAGTGCAAAAGCAGCTGCTGATTATCATGGGAACATAAAACCAAGACTTCACATCAATCCCTACATGACTTAACAGCCAGTACTGTTCTTTGCTTCAACAATGCATGCTTACTTTTAACTAAAAATAAAATTTTTGGTCAGTTCTCTCCCCCCCCCCCCGCTCTCTAATTTTCCTTTAGCCTAACATAATTTTTAATGTTTCAATTTGTGTCCAGTTCTGAAAATAATTCTAAGAAATTAACCCAAGAATCACATATGGTTCTGAAAAACCATACCCAAGAGAGAGTCCAATGAAGCTAATATATACTTCTAAATGAACAGGCAAACATAAAGAAAAGCAAAAAGGTTGAAACAACAGAGTAGCGGATTTAAAAAAAAACATACAGAAGGGGAGGCGGGAGTAGAGAAGGAGGAGGAGTAAAAGGCTCGGAATTAGTGAAAGAGCCAGGTCAATAGAATAACTGTAGAACATGTTTTATCTATTACATGTAAACCAATAAAATGAGGTCAAAAGTACCATTTGCACGTGAGTTGGTATAATAGTAAATCTCTATATCAAGTGGTTAGAATCTAGTGTGAGATGCTGCCAGATGAAGCTTTTATTTTGCAATTATTTAGCCCTGCTCATGAAATTTTATTTGAAGTGAGGGATCTCTATGTACAAACATGCTTTCCATTTCTTCTTTATTCCCCCTTCCCCAAGCATATCTTTCGTTATTCAGAAGAAAAAGATAAAATAGCCAAATATTGATGGATAGTAAAAAGGAGCTGTCCATCTGGAACATCCTGAATTGTATATCCATAACAAATACAACTTAGAAGTCACTTAAAAAACAAAAAGTATTGAACAATACTGCCAACAGGATTAAAAACAAAATATTCTCAATTGCTGTGAAAATATGAAATTCACACGTTGCCTGAAATCTTAGCTTCCATCATTGACTGCATGACGGAAGTTAAGTTTTATGAGAAGCAGCAAAGGGTTCTTCAATGTCAACTGATGACAAGAATTATCTACATAATTCCTCATCCCAAACATTTTATTTGACAGCTTCTAGTATAAAGTTATATTTTCAAAGTAAGTTCCCATCTAAAACATTTCAGTTTGAACTAGCATCCATATGACATAGATAAATATATGGAGAGTTAGTAATAAGTGTATTCGTTTTATACTGTACAAATGCTTAATATTTAAATAATATATGTTTAAAAATATGGTATCTCCATCCTACATAGGGATGCCCCACCCTTTTCACTCAATAAATGTGGACTATGCAATGTATCTACTTCCTAGTTGGCAGGAAGAGTACAATGAATGTAGAGTCTACTGCAGAAACAGGACCGCCTAATTGTCTGCATGCCCCACATTTGAAAAAGATGCTGATTTCTCTGCTAGAAAAATAATGCTGCTTTGCTGAACGAGGGACTGTCACTCAATGTAAACAGTATCTTTGAGGAATGCGTTGTCCATGGTTAGCAGAAAAGCTGTCTGCATCGAAATGTGCCTGGTGGTTCAGCATAGCCTAATATACAACAAATAGTACCAATCTGTAAATGATTAATGCCACCTTAGAATACAGGCCAGAGAATGTTATTGTGAAAGTAAAAAGTAATATTTAAAAACAGAAGGACAGAATCAGAAACAAATATCCTGCATAAATCTTGTTGGTGTGCATTGAAATTACATAAAATGTTCCTTTCAGATCACTTCCATTTACAGGTACTCCTCGACTTATAACAATTAAGCCCAGAATGATGATCATTAAGTTGTTGCAAGGCACCCTCTCTTCTTCCACCTCTTCTCACTGCAGGCTTTATGCCAGGGGTCTTCAAACTTGGCCCTTTTATGACTTGTGGACTTGAACTCCCAGAATTCTTCAGCCAGCGTGCCTGGCTGAAGAATTCTGGGAGTTGAAGTCCACAAATCATAAAAGGGCCAAGTTTGAAGACCCCTGCTTTATACAGAGCATGGGGTGGAGGAGGACCTGGTTTGCTGAACGAATCGTTTTAAGTTGACGATTACCTGTTCAACTAGTTCAATAGGAAAAATGTTTTCCTGAGCGTGAGTAGTTATGTTTGCAAGTAATTTTGCATAATCATTGTATGAGGCAAATCAGCTAGAGCTGAGTGAATTTTTTACACAGGTAGTCCACAATTTACAACTACAACTGAGGCCAGAATTTCCATTGGCTAAGCAAGATGGTTAAGTGAGTTGTGCCTGATTTTATGACCTTTTTTGCCATGGTTAAGTGAATCATTTCATATGTTAAGTGAATTATATGATCATTAAGAGAATCGGGCTTTCCCAATGGACTTTGCTTATCAAAAGTGCCCTGGGAGGGTTGGAAACGGCAAGCATATGACCTCAGGATTCTGTAGCTGCCATTAATACATGCTGGTTATCAAATACCCAAATTTTGTTCATGAGATCCTGGAGATGTTGGCCCATGGTCATGTGAGGACCAGTTGTAAGTCAAGGATGACCTGTGGTTTTAATATTTTTGCAACTATTCCTTCACTCACATTTCATGTTTTCTATATTGATCAGTATTCTATTTTTGATAAGAGATGGTATTTTTCAACCTTTAAGACTCATAATTGCTCTAAATGCGGTTCTCTATGAATGGACACTGTTTTTCATTTCTCAGAGCATCTGAATCAGCAATTTTGAGCTGATGCCAGTACAGGCCAGAATAGTAAATCCTAATATATCACTGCAATCAGCATCTGTGTTAAGGCAGCTTTAAGTGGAATTATACAGTAAAACAGAGGTCTTCAAACTTGGCCCTTTGATGACTTGTGAACTTCAACTCCCAGAATTCCTCAGCCAGGCATGCTGGCTGAGGAATTCTGGGAGCTGGAGTCCACAAGTCATCAAAGGGTCAAGTTTGAAGACTCCTGAAGTAGAACCATTGGAGAAATAATAAACACTAATAATGCAAGATCTGGAGTGGAGGCCTTGATTTAAGCTTGCTGACAGACATGAAACCACTGAATCTAAGCAATTTTGCCTTACATCCTCTTTTCTGAGCCTGGTATCCTTCAGATGCATTGTGATACAACTTTCACTATTTCCAGTCACCATATCCAGCTCGGGAAAAACTGACTTAGTTCTCAGCATTGATAATATACACTATACCATTTGGCTTAATTTGAAAGAAAAAAAAAAGAAGAAACAAAAATAAATACAATGAATGCCCAATTCACACTATTAAGAGAAATTCCATATTTGGCAAGACTAATAATTCATCACATAATCAACTCCTGAGGTTTTTTTCCCCCCTAGTTTGCTGAATTTAAAAAAAAAGAAAAGAAAAAGCAATGAATAAAATATGTGAAATATATTGAAGTCACAACTTCATTTATGAAATGAGGTTTGATTCAAAACTCAGTGCAAGTGGCAAAATTGACCATTGCTATACAGTATCTGTGAGAAAGATAAGAATAAAATCCACTTTGCTCAAACGGGCACAAAATGTTAGGTGTGCCAAAAACATTGTCCCACATTAAAAATTCAAAGAAGTTTCCAACATTGAAACTTTATAAATAAAGTACAAACTAGATGATATTGCTGAACCGTGAACTGAGTGCCGGTGTGTGGGGGGGGTGTATTAAAACATATACAAGCTACTTCTAGCATAGACCAAGAAAGGAATGTTGGAATTTTTTTATACAATAGAAATTTAAAATTCCAGTTGTTTCATGAGAAAATTCTGAGCCATGCAGGGTTTTTTTTTTTTTGCATATGGATATATATTTTATATATACTATATATATATTTATATGTACAGTTTAGCTATAAAACTTTGATGTGTAAAGAAGCTGTCTTCAATGAAAAATTGAACATTCAGAGGAAATTCCTGAGTTAGGGTTTTGTGACATGGGCCACTGAGAAAAAGCTGCGTTTGGATCCTCAGAGGTGTTATGTCCATCCCTGTTGAATATTGAAATTAAAACACAGTAACAATAACAACAACAATAAAAAAGAATCAGACAGTGTTGCCACTGCTTTGTTCCCCTGCCTGAGCATGGGATAGCACCATAGTGAAGAAGTTGAACTCCTGCTTTGTAGAGAGGATGGAATACTTAAAAACAGTATTGCTGCTAAGACCACTGTAGTGTGCACCAAGTGTGTTCTTCAATATAGACAACAAATGATTGTGGCCACTGACTGACTGAAGAGACCTTGCTGGGTGGGATGTAAAAGGTATACCAAACACTAGGTGTACTCCTTCCTAGGCTGCTCATCTGTTGTACACTTATCAGTCATCTCCTGACAGAAATCCATGGTCACCGTTTGGTTATTCTGCTCTGGAGGGAGCTCCTGCTCAGAATAAGTAACTTTGTCAGCTTCATCCGGTCCTCTTGCAGCACATTTGTCAGAGATGTTGTTGGGTAGCCAGTGGGCTCCCAGCTGCTGCACTGGTCTTTGTTCTGAACAGCACTGCAAGCCTTCTCCAATGCACTGGGATGTCACTACATTTTGATCCACTCCACCTGATGAAGGGTTGATACTAGCTGCTGTTGGAAGATCCATAGGCCTGAGCACAGGGCAGTATCGGTGAAGGTCTTGGATCTGTTCGGAGCTCTGCATATCTCGGCATACTTCTTGAGAAAGACAGGAGAAATTATCTAATAACTCTCCCATGCATGCTTTCAGCTGGTTCCTCTCTGACAGAAGTTTCTCTTTCTCACAAACCTGTCAAATACAGAACAGCATTCATTTTTTAAGAGAGGTTTGGCACGTCAGACTTCAGAATTTCAAAACCAGGTCTTAACTGATTGGCACATTATCCAGAATAAGATGCTAGAAGTCTGAAGGGTACCACTAGATAGTGGAAAAGCGAAGACAGAAAAATAGATCAGAGATCTTCCAATTAACAGGAGAACAGTGGATTGGAAGAACTAATCCTGAACAAAATAAAGAGCCATTCTTCTCTTGAGGCTACATTCCGCAACCAGAAACACACATATAATATGAACAGATGATGGACTAGAAAAAAAGGATCAAGGAAAGAGAAGGAGCCAAGTCAACCAATGAGATATATGTTGTGATCAGAGACATGACAGAATGGTCTTTAGAAAAGCTACGAATTATTAGTGGAGAGAGCCTGAGATGGGGAACATTCTATCCATACAATATTAAGGAGTTGACCTGCTACTCAATCATACCCAAGTGTGATCAGAAGGTACTTGATGCATTTTGTTCATGCTTAAGGAAATCTGGTGTGTATTAAATAGAAGACTGAGCATGTTTAATAAGCCTTAGTATTTAGTATGAATTATAACGATAAGATAAAACAGATTAAATGGATTTTTATTAAATTTGGCTAACGATCAGTGTAAGGTGAAATATTTAATAAATAATGGTATTTAATATTTTCTTTTAGCTTACCAATTTGCGGATTTCACATTCTAAATTCTGAATACAGTCCAGTTTTCTCTTGCGACAGCGCTGGGCAGCAATTCGGTTTTTACTGCGCCGTCGAACATCATGGATAAATTCCAATTGCTCTGAGGTTAATTTGTGCATCTTTATCATCATCTGGAAATCATTCCTTGGAAGATCTGTGATTTGATCTACAGGAAATGGAAGTTTCACCTAGGGTAAAACGAAAGAAAAAAAACAGACTGTTTATTTAACAAAGAATTTAGCAGGTTCCTTGGAATAATACTGTTTTATTCAAATAACGTAGTTGAATATAGTGCAAATATTAACTCCTGCCTTGTAGGCAACTTTAAGAAATAGCCATCCTAGCGGTGTAAATGACTATTATACAATAAAATCAGCAACACCATCAAGTACAAACAGCTTGGTGCAGATAAATGAGGTTTTTTTTCATATTCTCCTCAAAATACAGGCTCCAATTCAAAGAATGGATAATTAAAATTATAAAGAATAATACTTTATACTAAAGAATAATCCTAAAGTAAAAACTTTATTTTCTTAATTTAGGTTATATATATGTTCTGTGTTAATTGTTGAATTTAGTTATACTTCTTTCCAGTGCTTTTTTTGAAAAAAACAAAAAAAGGTGCTGGAACTCACACATGTGATACAACCCGCCTTGCCTACCCTACAAGGTTCCATCCAAAAAAGGTGCCGGAACTCTGTTCTGGGCGTTCTATGACAAAAAAAGCCCTGCTTTTCTTTCTACATCAATGAAAACATACATCATCCAATTTGACAGCCAGTAAATAAATCATCAGAATAAGATGTAAAGGGTTCCATAGCAAATTCAGATGCTGATACAAATCCTCAAGATTTATTTTGTTTAAGCATTCATGTTCTTCTATGTTGTGATAAAATGTATTTATCCAATTATTAACAATATTTTTCCACCACTATAATCAGATGGCCCTGGGTGGTAAGGAAACTCAAGGCTGTTTCTCTAATAAAAGAATGAGTCATAAAAAAATAAAAAAAAACAAGTATAATAAAATATTAAAACATTATTTTATTGCTATCATTGCTTTTCATAAAAAAAGAAAACACTTTCTGTAGTTAGTAATGCATGTTTTCATAAAGGGACTGTGCTGCTATTATTCTGAAACAGCCTTACTGAAACTGAGTATCCTGATGCTTTAAAAGCTCTGATTAGAGGAAAATTAAAAGCATTCAGAAGCAAGAATCTAAGAAGACAGCAGAATAACACAATAGATATTTTACATCCTCTTAGAGATTTCTCTAGAAAAAAAATGTTGGGAATATAGGCGGATAGTTCATTATAAATGTCAGCTGAATCTGCACTATTGATGAACAAGTAAATGAAATAACAGAAAATTCTGAAAATAAATATGTAGGTGGCATTATGTCAATATATATTTGGAATATTGTTTATGCATTGGGTTGCCCAGGGAGGGGGAAATGTCTAACTAGTATGATCAACAAAAAATTACACTCATTGGCTAGCTTACATACCAACCTGAGACATGGAAGTCTTAAAATAAAGAGGTGAATCACCCTACAATGTCTGATTAATATGTGAACTGACTGATAGCTGAGGGTATAATTAAGTTTTATTACCATGTCATATAGTGATGGGTTCTAATTTATATACATAGGTGTTTTTTAAACAAAATACAGCTGCATAAATTCATGGCCGATAGGTTTTTTTTTTTTTGGTTTTTGAACAGCTAAAAGTAGAAAGTTATCTTAAAGCTTTTTGAGATTTACAGAGAAATTTACTTTGTAAATGTTGTAAAATGGACATTGGATTGGTATGAATTCAGTTTCAACCACCAGGGCTGTTATTATCGCCTTTGATCTTATCACAAAGAACCAATTAGTTTTCAAGATCTCAGTATATCATAGCTACGTGTTCTCTATATTGATATGCCCAGTAGATGGCACCATGTGTTTTAAGATTCACAATGACAAAAAGATATGGCTCACATATGCCTTCTCTCATTCAGACTTCCCAGGGAAAATTCCTTTGATATATGAGAATAGATTTTGATAGCTTGGACACAAGTCTGCCCCTTACACAGCCGTGAAAATTACTGGAATATAAGCAACTCTCACAACCAATAGAACTCTTTTTGCCTGGTTTTGTTTGGTAAATATTGCACAAGGCCATTTAGTTTCAAATTCATTCATTCACGTCTCCACAAACAAGAATAGTTAAACTAAAATGCTTATTGATGTGTGTGTGTGTGTGTGTGTGTGTGTGTGTGTGTGTGTGTGTGTGTTTGCTCATATCATGGGCAAACAAGTATATTAGTTTAACTATTGTTTATGGAGAAGTGAATGAATGCCAAACTAGATGGCCTTGTGCAAAATTTATATATATAAATAAATAGATAAAAATTTCCATACTTCCCCAACTCACAACCCCATTAATATATTACTTCTTTTCACATTGTCTATCTGTGAACCTTCACCTTCTTGTCCCACCTGTGGAATTACATAAACACAAACACACAGCATACAGGTCACGTTACTATGACACATCACCAGAAAAGGCTCACCTCACAATTAAATAATGTTCTGTTTAAATATACAAAGACTGACCGTAGATATGGTGATGTGAACCATTATGCTTACAGAGACTGCTTTCTGTGATAGGAAGAGTGTCTATTTTCTCACTTCATACATTTTAGACTAAAACATTTAGACTCTGCCTAATTACGTGCATGTTCTATGGGAGGTTAGTACAGTAACCATATGCCACTGCACTCTGGTTTCCTTCACAAGATTCCTGATATTTAGACAAGACGGTAGATGAGACACTAATTATTTTAAAGTATCAGAGGGAGGCGATTTCTACTGTAATCCCTTGAATTCTACAGATGCAAGACTACTTTTACTGATCACTGGTTTTACTTTTTCCATGGCTTCTGCCCTCTGGAACACTGTGCCCCTAGAGCTATGTTCCCACCTTGTTGGCCTTCTGAAAAGGCCGCAAAACCTGGCTTGGCCAATTGGCATGGGGCCCCAATGTGGGCTTTAACCAGTGGTGGGATTCAGCCAGTTCGCATCACTTCGGTAAGTAATTTTTTGTTGCCCAGGCCCAGAACGGACTTCTGGAAGAGGCATCCACACAGAGAACCGGCTGTTCACATATTTGAATCCCACCACTGGCTTTAACGCTGAATTGGTTAGTGGATTAAGAAGAAGACCCCACATCCATCTGGCTTGTATACTGGTTCTTAATTTACCTAATTTTTGTTCATTCTTAATGTTTGCATATTTTAAAGTTCTTGTACTTCTATTTTTGTGATATTGTAAGTTGCCCAGAGTCGCTTGACAGCAAGATGGTCAGCATATACATTTAATAAATAAATATTTCTAAGCACTGGTGATTATGTACCTTAAAGACTCATCTATGTACAGGAAGGACCCATTAGCAGCCTTGCTTTTCAGTAGTACAAAAAACAAACAAATAAAAAAACCCAACCCTCTCACTCTGCGCCACAAGTCAATGCTTTGTCAGTGTTAACAAGCCTAGCTAAGTGCAAATTTCCAAGTTTATACAGTTTGTTATGCCTTTATTACATACCTGGGACAGCTATGCTTTGGGTTAATTTCTGAACAGATCAGCCACATAGTTCAGTCTGGTTGGTCAGTCGTAATACTGTTTATTTTGGCCTAGTACTAGGGCAGCTCAGTTACTATGACCTGTAAGCCATGGTATACTGTTTAGCAAGTTGTTTACATGCAACAAATCAAAATTGTCCAAACCATGACTTTGTGTAATGTGTAGACAAGTTCACTAACTAGTGCCAGGTGGGCTATGTGGTTTACCACAATATTCCGGCATTTTTAAAAAAGAAATTAGATCCTTAGGCTGCACTGAAATTAAATAGTTTTTGGGTAGTTCAAACAATATGGATGCATGTTTTTATTTCTATACTGCAGTATAGTTTTAAAAAGCAATATACAACAACGTCGTGTTATTATATGCTTCTTGTATCCTTGAGGTGGGATAGCATCTCTTCTGAGACAGAGTAGCTTTCAATGTCCCTGTAATGCTCGTGCTGGCGGGGGCACAGAACTGGGCCTTATTGATTCCTTGCAAATATTGCCTTGTGTCTGCAATAAAGATTAACTTTTGTAATTTGCCCCCTCAATTGTCTTTCCAATTGGCTATATTAGTAATTAGTTTTTCTTTTGAATATCTGAATATTATATTTAGATTTGCATACAAGGTAAGAATTAAGTAAGAGCAGAATAATGTTTTATGTTGTTTTTCCAGTCCTATGAGCTCTGATTACACACACATTACACACACACACACACACACACACACACGCACACACACACACACACAGAGAGAGAGAGAGAGAGAGAGAGAGAGAACGAACTACAATATATAGATTCTGCTTAAGAAAACAGTTTCAATTATCCAGGATAAAGTTAAATAATGCAAATTGAATAAGAGAGCCCATCTGATGTAGTGGTTAAGGCCACAGGCTAGAAATTGGGAGATGGTAAGTTCCAATCCTGCTTTAGGCTCAAAGCCCGCTGGGTCACCTTGGTCAGTCACTTTCTGCCAGCCCTAGGAAGGAGGCAATGGTAAACCACTTCTGGACATCTTTGCCAAGAAAACTGCAGAGCCTAGTCCAGGCCATTGACAAGATCCAACAATGACTTAGAGCAGTGATGGCGAACCTTTTAGAGACCGAGTGCCCCAAAACTGGCCCCACCCCTGCTCCACCCCCCCCACCCCGCCAGCCCACAGGACCACTCACCGCCTCCAGGGCCCACCGCAGATTGCCCAGGCAGCCCAGCAGTGCTATGGCGGCCATACCCTCTGCCTGCGCCCTGCAGCATCAACTGCATGATGGGGTGTGAGGTCATAGTCTTGTCTACGCTGCCTGGCTGCCATGTCCTTGGCTGCGCTGCTCCGTGTGGGCGAGTCTCCTTCAGGGGGGCTGCTGGAGAGGAGGGGGTCGCGGGGGAAGGCAAGGCTGGGGCAACGGCACGTGTGGCCACAGAGAGGGCTCCGAGTGCCACCTCTGGCACCCGTGCCATAGGTTCGCCACCACTGACTTAGAGGCACCAAGTAAATAAATAGAAGTCAGGCCAAATCACAAAATTGCATTAAAAAAGGAATATTTATTCCAAAGTTTGCATCTTTATGAGATTCTCTTAAAAAG